TCTCTACTTGATTTCTCTTTCATTTTCTCTTCAACTCTTGGTTGACTTGTTTCACTACCTCTAGGAAACATAATCTGAAGGTGTGAGTATATTTTGTTACTTTTTCTGCAACATAAGGTTTTGGTTTTCTTTTGTTGTATAAATAATCTCAAGAAGTTTATGGTGCAGCCTATATATTTTAATCTTCTGCAAAACTTCATGGTAGTTTTTGTTTTAGTGAGCAGCATGAATATTTCTATGTCGATACTTGTTCTGTGATTGTCAACTACTAAAGAGTATTTGTTATTGTTGTGAAGTTTGAAAATTTTGAGTTAGTCTTTTAAGTCTCTGATTTGGAAATTTGTAGGATGTCAATTTTTATATGATGTATTGTAGTGACGGAGCCATGAATTTTAGCCGGGGGTTCCAAAAAATATTTAAAACACAATAACATATATTGTTTATGCAATTTAACATCTAAATATCATTACACAACAAGACTTTTAAAATCATAATTCAAATTAGATTATGGTGTTTATAATACCATTCTTCTCACCTTATTTTCTCAAAACTTTTTCATGAAATCTACCTCATCAATGTTGCAAAAAAATCTTATTCAATATAAGTCACCAAACAATTATTCATATTTCATCTCTCATTTGGTTTCGAGGAATTGATGGTGAGGGCAAAAAGAGGAACTGAGAGCCAATGGTGAAGAGGGGAAATGGGTTGCTGGGTTTATCTTTTAGTAGCATTTCCTAACTCACGTGTAGCTCAATATCGGTCCCTCAAATCTTTTATTGTTTTCATATTCGTTCCCCACATCTTTGAAATTTGAAATTAGTCCCCAACTCTTATAACCATTTTGAAATTAGTCTCCCTAATTAGCAGTTGTTGATTTGGAGTGAAATATTCCCTTAATTTTAACTAATTTAGGAGATTTATTTCAAAAAAACTTTCAAGACATGGGGTACTAATTTCAAAATATGAAGACTTGAGAAACTACTTCGAAAGAATAATTTTTCAAAACAGACCCCTTTAGAGTTTTATTTTTCAAAATCGACCGGTTTTTTTTATTTATCAAAACCGACCCGATTTTGTGATTAGCAGCCTAATCACCATCCTAAATAGTCGGGGTTGGCAACCCCGACTATTTAGGAGGGTATTAAACCCTGATTAGATGCCTTAAACACTAAAAATTAAGGTCCTAAATAGTCGGGGTTGCCAACCCCGACTATTTAGGAAGGTGATTAGCCGGTTAATCACAAAATCGGGTCGGTTTTGATAAATAAAAAAAAACCGGTCGATTTTAAAAAATAAAACTCTAAATGGGGCCGTTTTGAAAATTTGTTCTACTTCGAAACACTTAAAAGATTTGAGGACTAATTCAAAATATGTTAGAGTTGGGAGACTAGTTAACACTATTGATATTTTTTAATTGATATCTCAAGGTTGGGCCGAGGCTCCCTTGGCCCCAACGTGGTTCCGCAACTGACATATTGTATATTATTCAGATAATAATTATGTATAATAGCCATGTCTTTGTTACTTGGGAAAATTGTATCAAGACGTGCCAAAGCAATATCTTCAAGTGCTGCAACTATTTTATTTTTTTTCAATGTGGTTCAGTCCCAAGAAGTATCACATCATGTGTTGCAATCTTTTTTTAGCAATTATTAGCCGCCAACTAAGCATAGAGAGAACATAAAACTACAAAACCCCAAAATGCAATTATCTCCTCTATTATTTCATGTTAGGTCTATTTAGAATTCATGTTAGGTCTAATTTCATGTTAGGTCTATTTAAGTTTATGTTAGGTGTAATTTCAGTTCATGTTAAGTCTAACAATAATTCATGTTAGGTCTAAATTCAATTCATGTTAGACCTAATTTCAGTTCATGTTATGTCTAATAATAGTTTATGTTAAGTCTAATAATAGTTCATGTTAGGTCTAATTTCAGTTTATGTTAAGTCTAATAATAGTTCATATTAAGTCTAATTTCAGTTCATGTTAGGTCGAATAATAGTTCATATAAAGTCTAATATTAGTTCATGTTAGGTCAAATAATAGTTCATGTTAAATCTAATTTCAGTTCATGTTATGTCTAATAATAGTTCATGTTAGGCCTAATAATAGTTCATGTTAAATCTAATTTTAGTTCATGTTATGTCTAATAATAGTTCATGTTAGGTCTAATAATAGTTAAATTAGATCTAACATGAACTATTATTAAGCTTAACATGAACTATTATTAGACATAACCTGAACTGAAATTACACATAACATGAACTGAAATTAGACTTAACATGGACTATTATTAGACATAACATGAATTATTATTAGACATAACATGAACTGAAATTAGACCTAACATGAAATATTATTAAACCTAAAATAAAATTAGACCTAACATGAACTCTAAATAAATCTAACATGAAGTTAGACCTAACATGAACGACCTAACATGAAAGATAGAGTAGATAAGGGAATTTTGGGGTTTTGTATTTTTTATCCTCTCTCTATGCTTAGTTGGCGGATAATAATTGCTAAAAGAGTGCTTCAGCACATGATGTGACACTTCTTGGGGCTGAACCACATAGAGAAAATGTAAAGAGACTGCAACACATGAAGATATTGCTTTTGGGGCATTGACACAATTTTCCCTTGTTACTTTATTGAAAAACAGTCTACATCTTCATTGAAAAAGAAGTGCATAGAGTGAGAAAAGACATGTAGTCTTTGATGATGAGAGCACCATTGTACATGGGTTCTCAATGCTTTTGTTTTCTTCAATAGGCTGCGTTTATGTGGCCACTTACCGGTTTGCATCTTTGGCTTAAAAGAATGTTTACATTTGGCTCTTTAATATAGACATTAAATGAGCATAAACTGCAAGATCAATAAGTCAGATCTCAACTCTTCTTCAACTGCGAGCCTAAGAGCTCTTCTTCGTCTCAATTCTCATTAACATGCGTACCATTTTCTCTTCAAATCATAGGAGTAAATGTAGACCAAATCCTAGTTTTATGTTTCTATTTTGGGGTTGTGTTTCTGAAAACTTGTCGGCGTACTCATAAAGGAGCATGTAATAATAAGTGATTAAGCTTGATCCTTATTATAAGCAGCATGCTGCATACTTATTAATTAGTGATTACGTACGCTTGAATATCCTTGCTTAACCACGAATCAAACAAGCCTGAATTTGAGTTCAAATTCACAAGCATTCATGTGCACCATGCTTGTATGACAAGGGAATGGCCCAATCAACTAGAAAAAAATGATGATAAATAAAAAATCAATTTTGACATTCTCTCTTGGTATTGATCCAATGATATTTTCTTTAAAAAATTAGAAGGAAAACAGAGGAGCAGCGAAGAAATCAATGGTCTCCATTGCTTGTCCATTTCCATTCTCTGCCGGATCGCAGCTTATAATTCAAAAGTATCTCCAGCTTCATTGGTAGAAAGAAATAAGCTCTAGCTACACCAAAAATTATCATTAAATAATTGTAAAGTTTAAAGGAAAAATTTACAGCCCAATGAGGATGAGTTACAGTAAAAGATAATGCACCGCTAACGGGCATGCAAACTATTTTAGTATTACTTTTTAGGGTGTTGCTACATGGACTCTAAATAGGAGACTCCTGAGGGGACAGGTGAGGTGTCAGCCCCTGGGGGCTTGATGCACTGTTCACCTCACCTGTCCCCTTGGGGGTCCCCTATTTTGGGGTCCCTGAGGAGTTTTCCTACTTTTTAAATTAATTGAAGGGATCCTCTCATTTCATCATTCGTTGAGACGGAAATCTAAGAGACGAGGGAAGGTGTTGGGTGGATGTGATTGGAAGCATGGTGGAGATTTGTTTGGGAGATATAAAGAGGAGGTAAGAGGATAAGGACCTGTTTGTTTCGTTTCCCCCAGAATCCAAAACCCACTTTCCTTAACTTTTTTACTTTCCCCCACTTTTTTTAACTCATTTTCCTTCACTTTTTCCACTTTTCCCCAATAATATTGTGACAACTCATCCCATCACATCTCATTTCTTACTTTTAAAAATAAACTAAACACAAGAAATGAGTCACATCAATCAACTCATCTAACTCACCTCACCCAACTTTCTTTTATTTTCTACCATCTTTAAAAATTACTCACATCATCCAATAATATGGTGACAACTCATCACATCTCATTAAAATTTCCTTCTATCTCTTTCCTCCAAAAAAAAAGAAAATTGATTTTCCTAAGTATGGGTCACATCATCCAATAATATAATGACAACTCATTTTCTCTCATTTATTTTCTTCGTTTTAAGAATGAACAAAACACAAGAAAGAACAAAAAATAAAGAAAGTGGAGGAAAATATTAAAAATTACCCACCTCATCCAATAATATGGTGACAACTCATTTTCTCTCTCACTTTCTTTCTGAATTTTGATGTGAACCAAACATCAAAAAGTAGAGAAAAACATCAAAATTTATTTTCTTTCCCCCACTTTCTTCATTTTTGTGCGAAACAAACAGGCCCTAAGTGTTCTCTCCTAAAAATTGATCCCTTTCTCAAAAGCCTAAAGCCTTCAAAGATTATCATCATCGCCAGAAGATCTGTGGTTGTATATCATCAATCTCACAGGTAACCTTATATTTATTAAATTCTTAGAATCTTGCAATTCTTTTCTTTACAATCAAATGAAATTATACCTGAAGGAGATTGGTAATGGTCTCGACAGTGGAAATTTTGTTAATCCCAATCTCATAGTCCATCCTCAAGCAAACTACCCATCCTCAATCTCTCAGCCAGCAACGGAGTTATTTGGCTCCGCTTCGCCGGCGACGGAGGAGGAAAGTAAGAACGATCTCGCGGCACAGCACTGGACGCGCCGGCTGTCGCCGCCGAGGCTCAGAACCTTCGCTGTCTGCATTGCTCGAGAGAGAGGTTTTTTTTGTCGGTTAAGTAGAGGATCCTGACTAATTAGAGGTCGTCGTGGTCGATGAGAACGAGGAGTTGGGTCT